AAGGGAAAGAGACGGGCTGACTTTCGCGCAGCAGCAGTCTTCACCAATTGTTATAGCTTGCGTCGGTCGTCCCAAGCGCCTTGGGCGGTCAATCCTAAAGCGCCTCGGATTCGTGCTCCTAGCGAGTTATCCCCTAGTTGCTAGTAACAGCACAAGTGCACTGAGCAGGTAAAGCAGATTCAGACACCTGTTTAGTCGACACAGGAACATGTATGACTTTTCCCTTCTTCTCCTTGGCAATCACATACGGCTGTACAACCGGTAGTCCAAGAGGGGTGACCCATTCCATAGTGCGTAACAGGTCAGACACGCCTTTTGGCACAGTCTCTGAACCAGTCCTTCAGCTTCCTGAAAGACATCCCAAATGATCTCATGGTGATTAGCCAAGGAAAATAGATCAGATGAAGTGTGAGCATTACCTTACATAAAAAGTCACAATCAGATGGGCGCAGTCAGGACAGCCTTTCCCTCCAACGATGGCATCATTGCCGGAAAAGGCTGTCTTGGCTGTGATCGTGCCACCACCCCCTCCTCCTCCCGCGAACTATTGTCTGCAGGGATAGACTATGGGAGGAAGTTGCTGAGCGGAACAAAAAAAAAAGCCTGAAAAGTTAAAAACTTACATTGAACAAGTAAATGCATCATGCAGGCTGGCAAAGGTTTTATGTGTCAAATACTGTGCAAATTTCGCTGTCTGAAAAAAAATCATCAGAATAAAGAACTGGAAACAACAACGTGAAAAAATGAAATGATTATTGAGAAGAGAAATTGATTCACCTCTTCGTTATCTATGTCGAGAGCTTTCAACTGTCGTTTAATTTGCAAGGCAGCGCCATATAACGTAACCCCTAACAAATGGTCGTCATCACTGTATTGCTTGATGATCCTAAAGCACTCAACGCTCACCATTATCGTGAAGAACACTGAATGCTGTTCGGTTCAGAGGGCATTCTCCCTTTTGCTAGCTCTTTTTGTTACCTCTGGCCGTTCGCTGATTTTGAAGATCTCCCACAAGGTGATCTGGTTGCTGGGTACCACGCTGGGTGACCACCAAGCCAGACTGCGCCGAAAACTAGGAATCAGATTAGATTTACCTTCCGCGGGACAGGTTGCGGCATGAACTTTCTGAGTCGCAGTGCAATTTCCTTGTTCGGACCACCTTTCTCGTCTTCAAGCCTTCTTTTCTGTCGACTCTAAAACAATACGCCTTAGGATAGTCTACCCAAAGACTAATGTAACTATTAGATACCACGTTATGGTAAAATGTTACCTCAGTGCTACTGAAGAGTACACATCATTAGGCGTTTCGCTTTTCAGCAAATTGACTTCTCTGCCACCTTCTTCATCACGTCCTAGTGCTGCATAATGCTGCAAACCGTTGCAGCTGCCATCCTGATGCACAGCCAGATGGCTGAAACACCGTAAAGTATATGAAAAAAGGCAAAATAATGAATTTTATTTAAGTATAAAACTGAGAGCAGAATTCATAGCATAATAACAGGGAGGACAACGTCTTTGACATCCGGCTTCCGTTCTGCTCGGCTTTCATCCAAGAGGCACGTGCAGAATGAAAGCTGAACTCATGGCACATCAAACGTTTGGGAGTCCCCAGCGGGGAGGGGTCATAGTTGGTCGTTGTAAGAAAGGGAGGGCCCTAGTTGAGAGAGGGGGTTGTACCTGGTCCCAAGAAGTAAATAAATAACAGGACAAAATTCTGTACCAAATCTAAGTTATAAGCTAACTTTAAAGGCAATGAGTAAGTGACTGGTGGCGGGCAATTACCACCTTACACCGACGATGGCGTTCGCGACAACTCCTCGCCCCCAGCAATCGTGCCCGTTACCCTTCGAAAAAAAATATTACCGCGAATTTCAAAAGGTGGGGGCAGTAAAGGGTAGGTAGACAGAAAAACCACCCATTTTTCTGCCAAAAATCTGAAAGTAGATAGAACTGACCTCACGAAGTTCTCAGTCTTTCCTGGAAAAGCGAGTGCATCACGAATTTCCATACATGCCGCTAACGTCTGCCAAGGCTCTTCTGACTCCAGCCACCATCCCTTTCCTAAAGCACTTCATCATTGGTTCGAAAACTAACGCGACACGCTTGGAAAAGTCTGTCGGCACCCCTTCCTACCCCACATATTCTGAAGTTAAACGAACGCTTACCGTCAAGCGGATGGTTAGCTGAATCCAATATGTCATCCAATTGTTGATCTGCAGCAATGATACGATCTTTGATGCTGTCCCTCTTCATTTTACCCGTGAGGTTTATACAGTGGAGTTTCAACCAGTACAGACCGCGATCTCCTAATGGGCGCCCTGCAATTTATAGCTATCGATTGGTTATCATCTCGCAGCAGCTATTCAAAGGCACTTTCCACGTTGGTCATATGGATGGAATCGCGGATTCATGTACTCTCTTCACTGGTGAGCTCCCCTCCGTGAACGGTATTAGAAGGGGGTGTTGACCAATTAAGAGAAGGGCGCAATGACAGGTCCGGCTCCTCCTATGCGAGCAACTTGGAATGGACTTTAAAAGGCTATAACATAGCAGGCTACCAAAAAGGAGTACTTTTTTCATAAAGGTTGTCTTATTTGAAAACGCCTGCGCCTCTCTAGGATCTCGTACCTTTAGCAAACTTTAGTATACATCGATTGACGTCATCACCCATGTGACTCAGGTACGGCGAAATAGGATAAACACGTCCACGAAAATCCATATTATGTGGGAAAAATAATGTTTGTCCGCGAAAATGCCTTGCCAGCACTATACGATATTTCATCCAACACCACAATGAATTCAGTTCATTCCTTAAGAATTTCTGCAATTAGACTTCCACTGAACAGAATAAAATCCGTTAACCATCTGGGATAAGCGTGGAAAAAATTAAGTTTGTTAGGAAGTTCGGCGTTTTCGGCATCGGAGGGGCATTTTGCACTTACGCTAGTTCCTTTTCCTAGTTCCTGTTAAATTACCACGTCTGGCGAAGCTTGTAGACTTTTATCAAGTGTAAACAAAGCTTCTGCCAATGCATAGCCTAACAGGAATTCACAGATATTCAAAGGAAATCTCGCCAGAGATCGGTGGTAACCTAGAATGCCCCAACCAAGCCGAAAAGCGCCACAATCCTTCA